TTCTACTGTTATTTATTATAATAATAAAATTTTCCGGAATTTTCACTTAAAGGAAACAAGAAAATGGCGAAAACAGGGTAGGCAAATTCTGGTAGAATTTATAATAAATACAAATTACGCATATCGCTAATTGCGGTTCTCGTTACCTACTTTTGTACAACTCTGTTCATTACGAGAGTGCTTCTAACACGTACTCCCTGCTGCGAAAATGAATTAATTAAAATAAGAGTACGGGCTCGTGCTTCTTGTAAGACGGAAAATAAAACCATTAACGAAATACTAAAAAACTTGCTGGTAACCTTGTCTTCCGAGCCAACATGGCGGACATCTTTTACGACAAATATTTCGAGGAAACAGAACGACTTAAAAATCAGCTGCATCGAAATGAAAACAAAATACAATTAATAAGATAAGAGTACGGGTTCGTGCTTTTTGTAAGACGGAAAATAAAACCATTAACGAAATACTAAAAATCTTGCTGGTAACCTTGTCTTCCGATAGACGCGAACCAACATGGCGGACATCTTTAACGACAAATATTTCGAAGAAACAGGACGACTTAAAAATCAGCGAAATGAGAACAAAATGTAATTAATTATTCGTTATGAAATTCCAGACTAAACAAATTTTGAATCTATGCGTTAAGGCAACTTTGTTGTACAGTTCACCCTGTATGAAACTCGATGAGTCGAACTATTGAAATCGGGGAAACGTGAGAAGCGTGCAAACAATAACGTAGCGTCGTGAAGAGAGATCGTAGGTACCGGGTGCAGCAAATATTTGTAATAAATTTTAAAGGAATTCGATCGCAACGGTATCCGTAAATATTTGAGGTTAACGTTCGGGGCGATTCGATAGTATCGATCGCGTTTCGAGCTCTCCTCGAGAATCGCCGGAAATAAGTAAACGAATAAGGGAGGAAGGGGAAAAGTAAACAAGGAAGGGAAACGAGACCGTCGAGGCGGCGGTAAATAATTATTATTCGACTCGGGACGAAGCAAATGATTTTTTCTTTGGAGGACAGAGCGCACGCTCATTGTCAGAAGCAAACGTTAAGATTGTTCTACCGCCATCAGAAATAGACTGTGAAGTAAACCGAATACCATGCGTGTACGAGAATTAGATACAGCCCGTTAAATCTTCGATCGAATTTATTTTCTTTGAGTCACGTTTTCATAACGAGGATTAGTCATCTATTCGAAATTATTCGAGTAGCGAAAGACGAAGCAAGTCGACTGTATACATTTCCCCTCCTTCGTTCTTCGCCAGATAAGAATCTTATCGCTTCCAAGGAGCCTCTCCTGTTATCTACCGAGTACATAGAACAGCTGAAGGTAAACGCTTAAATAATCGGTGGATGTCGTGTCCGAAGAACAAACCAAATATTGGGGACGGAAGATGTATTTAATACCTGTATTTAATACCTTGAAATTTGTATCGAATGTCCACTTTATTCAAGCATAAGTAATACATATGAACAAGAAAATATCGTACAACGAATGTTTTCAAGAAATAATTTACCCGAGTGAGAGAAACAGTCGATGTACATTAAGAAAAATAATAATCGTCGCATCTATGCGTGGACGCGAAAAGGTGAACGTATTTCCACTTTCCGATAGACGAATTTCCGTTGCGAACGCGATCGAGGAAAAGCTCGTTTCCCCTCGAAATGCGACACAAACAGGAGAGGGGCACGAATATTCAGTCCAGTGACGCTCGACTTGCCACGAAAAAAAAAGGAAGCTGCACAAACGAATACACTGGTTGAAACAAAGTCGCGTTGGGCTCGAAACAAAACATCAGAGGCGAAAGAAAACGCGACGTTGAGTGTTTACCTCTGCTATTCCCCTCGATCTACTCGACCAAGGAGAATATGCATATATGTGCACGGACAGAGATAGGGAAATTTCTTATCCGAATAACGAATAAAAGGGAAACAGGTTTCATAAAAATCGCAATGTGGAATACAGAATGCAATTATATTTGCGAATTGGGACTGAAAAACAGGTTAGAACCATAATCGACGTGATTTTTTTTTTTTTGTAGTGCGTTTTATTTTTTGAAGTAAAATTCAAATAAAATGTATCTGCGTTGAGCAGAAATTCAGTTCGAGTTAGGTCTGGCGATATTAGTTTAATTAGAGTAAAAAGCGCCGGCTAGTCTAGGAATTACGAGGGTTATTATTTACACGAGTAACACGATTCGTAGACCTTGATATAGTAGTCGAATATGTACGAAATTAGTTAGTGTAGTTAGTTACTTGTGACCAGTACACGCCAAGCGAATAAAGCTTGTTGCGAACGAATCGTTACGCGTCTCTGTCGGAAACGAAGATTTCGAAAACGCTGCTCTAAACTGTCTATCGGGGGATGTCGTTGTATTATTTCCTAGGCTGCTATAATTTCGTGAAGATTGCGAACGTCGGAAGGCTTACGTTTCTCCGTGGAAGGTTGCAGGCTCGGTCCTCTCGGTGAAAATTCGATAAGAGCCTGGAGAGGACGACGGCGTGGCGGGTCGAGGGCAGGAAAACACGGGACAATCGCATTCAGAGGACGAGTTCGCGAAACTGGGCGCAGGGTGGTTGACCCCTGGGGTCGTTTTCGAATCGGCGTCGACGTGGTCGATGGGAAAGACACGTTCCTCCGCCGGAGGATCGGGACACGGGAGTCAGGCGGACACCATTGCACACGTAGATCGGATCTTTCCTTTAACGCTGGATCACAGCTCTCGATGGAGGCGCGTTATGTCGTGTCTGTGCATGGCGCGGAGGAGTACGCGCGGCGGCGTTCTTTTGTCATCGGTCGGCGAGAGGTGACTGTGGTTGCGCGTAACCGGAAGCGAGAGTGGGGAGAGACTGACCGCGCATCTACGGCGGTCGGCGGCAGACTGGACAAAGTGCCAGTGGTGCCCGGGTTGAGCGGACCACGCATCCTCTCAGGCCCGTATCGACTCTAGGTTCACGGGGCTTCCCAACCACCCTCGCTATACAGGGTGTCCCAAAAAAGGTTGTAACACATTGAAAGGGGTGGTTCGGGTGATTTGAAACAACTTTTTCCTTAGCGAAAATGTTGTCCGAGGCTTCGTTAAGGAGATATTAACGGAAAACATCGACCAATCAGAGCGCGCGTATACCGTTGGAGCGGCTGTGGTAGCGAAGGCTACGAGCTAAGCGGCCGTGTTCAATGTCTTTCGATTAGGGATGGCGTGAAAAATCACTGTTAGTGATTTCGATCACGACCGTGATCCGGAAGATGACGTTTCAGAAGTGATTCATGTTAATTATTATCGTTAGTGTATCACTGTCTCCCCTTAGCGGAAATTCAAGAAGGTACAAATGAATCAAATTTAAAGTGTATTAAAATTATATTAACACTGCTTTTTAGACCATATTATAATACATATGTAAGCTTTGTGTATAGGTTGGTGAGCGAGACTTATGTTCCACAGAGGACGGTAGTGGAGATAGACAGAGAAACTAAAAAGATATTTTTAAACAGACAATTTAGATAAATAATTAAATAGTAGTTCATTTACTATAATGTAATATATATAATATATTTACTATAATATAATATACTAATAATAGTACGTATAGAAAACATAGGGAAACACAAACATTATATTGTTGATTCTCTATATCTTAGGTTAGTATTTTAGGTTAGGAAACATAGTACGTGCACAAACTATTTATTATGTAATAATAATAAACCTCTATATTTTAGACGAATCAACCTTGTGTTTTTGCTGAAAAAAAGGTGTCCTGAACAATATTATGTATATATAACCTAAGAATAACATAATTCGTGAAAAGTGAAAAGAATGTTCTGTACCAATCAGAAGCGAGCACGAAGAATCACGAATCACTGTGAAAAATCATCGTGATTGAGAATGAACGTGATTGAATCACGAGTGATTCAAAAGTAGCAGTTCACGCCATCTCAACCTTCGATACGCGTCGTGTCACTTGTTCGCGTACGAGCGCGGCCGCTTAGCACATAGCCTTCGCTACCGCGGCCGCTCCAACGGTATCCGCGAGCTCTGATTGGTCAGTGTTTTCTGTTAATATCTCCTCAACGAAGCCTCGGACAACATTTTCGCTAAGGAAAAAGTTGTTTCAAATCACCTCCCGAACCTACCCTTTCAAGGTATTACAACATTTTTGGGACACCCTGTATAATTCATATATTACATATAAGAACTGTATAAGAAAGTTTGAAAACGGTCGTGGTAGGTTTAGTGTTAATAGCATCCCCTTAATTCCCCCCTGAAAAGAAAGAAGGTTGAAGACCACGTCTAAACTAATGCCACATACATCATTCACTGCAACATACATGTTTCACATACATGTTGTACATTCCCATAGGGCTCCTTGGAACGTACCCACCGTGACCATTCGTTGAGACGGCACTGCATCCTCAAGCCCCGACCAATCGTCGCCCTCCTTCTCTCTTGCCTTTCGCTCTGCGTCGATCCTTCTCACGAAAACCACCCTTAACTGGACGCTCGCACGCGCGCGCGCCCCGAAGCTCCTTCGCGCTCGTCCTTTTTATTCTTTGAAATGCACAGAGAGTAAACGTATCGAAAGGATACTTAAATAACATTATTATACACTGGGTCACAGCGGCTCTCAAACCGTTCCGCGCAGAAACTATTATCATTGCAATTGGGGATAGGTCGATTAACTTTGAACGTCGATGAATAAATTCTATTCGTTCGGAAGTTCTCGTTGTGGCTTAATTCGATACCGTTAGCAATATTCGATACCATTTGATTTAGTCGAGAACGATGTTTGTATTAAACTCGATACCATCGGATGCCTCTGTTGGCGTCTAACCGAAACTTCGTAAAGTATCGGGAATCTGGATACATATTCATTTAATCAACTCTATGCATTATTTATTCCGTGTACGCACATACCTTAAGGTTCACCAATTGGTACCGCAAAAGTGTACCGTTATCGAGACGAAAAATATTATTCGCACATTTATACACAAATGGAAAACGAAAATTTATATCCCGAAATAATTTTCGTATCCTGCGTCGCGTCGCTTATTTACAGGTGACCTCGCCGGAGAAACGTTTCACTTCGATGGAAACGAACCATGCACGCACGCACAAGTGGCCAACTGCTCGATTAATAAATTATATAGATATGCGATAGCGATATCCCTTCCTAAACCCAATATCATCGATATTGGGAACTTGTCAAGTTCAACTTGACCGAAATCCTTCGGGTGTCCAACGTTTCGTCGATATTGGGCTCGTTAAACTTGCAATTTACCTCTGCCAATCCTTTGTGCGTCATGGATACGCAAAAAACTGTACAAAAAATGCATCGATTCATTCCCAAATTCGACGTCCTTCGAAACCTCATCATCACCCCATCCCCCCATTCGCCCCATCAAAAAATATCGACTCCATGTCATTCTCAGAGAATTCTGACCTAACCCAAATTATTAGAAAAAAAATCGTCGATCGATTTTCCTCAACTGTTGACACGCCAGTGTCAAAGTACCGCACTTGCGTTGATCGATCGTTTATTTTTAAATCCTCGCTCGGTTTATCAGGCTGAAAATTTACTTCAGAGACATCTAAACGACCGAGTAGCAGCTCGTTAGATAACCTATGTAACTTAGGTTACCCCCCCAAGTACTTTATTCTCAATACGTGAATTTATTTAATGCACGTCTGCATTGATGTCAAATTTCAAAGGCTTTATCGTACTTGCGAGTTTTCAAATTTAATCTAAGATTGGAGAAGAACGATAAGGTTATGGCGAAGATGGATTTGTCTTTGCTGAGAAGTAAATTTCGCGGTTCTATGCTTGGTGTTTTGATGGGTGATTGTCTTGGGAGCCCTTATGAAAACGAGGAATTGCTCACCAAGGGCATGAAGATAGTTTTACAACGATCTTTGGATAAATTGGAGGGACCTATGTTCAAAGGTTAGACTTTTACTGTGCATGTTAGAGTTGTATTTCATCTTTCATCGATGGTGTTGACATAGAATATTCTTTCAACTGTATAGCACCTGTCATGCAGTTTACAGATGATTCTGCAATGACACGTTCCGTGGCCAAATCCTTAATCGAAACCAAGGATCTGGATGTCGTCGATCTAGCAAAGAAATTCGTCAAGAGTTACTATCTGGAGCCTAATCGTGGTTACGGTCCTGGGGTTGTAACAGTATGCAACATAGTTTCTTATAAATTAAATGCAGGAATTCTGTTTCTTAATCTATAGGGTATATAATGTGTATTGTAAAACAAGGTATTCCAAAAATTACGTGGTAACAAATTTTCGGACATCCTAAGTCCGGCAAAGGAACAATTTAACGGGCAAGGCTCTTGGGGAAATGGCGGAGCAATGAGAGTCACGCCTGTTGCATTGTTTTGCTACCAAAACTATGATAAACTTTTAGATATGGTTAGAAAAACAACCCAACTTACTCACACGCATAAAGTTGGAATAGATGGTGCTATTTTACAAGTAATTATACTTTAAGTATCGGATCGTCTACATTCTGCACGATTTTATTTATATTCTTGTCATTTTGCAGGCAGTAGCGGTCCAACAAAGCCTTTTATTAAATCCTAGCGAGGAATTAAATGTAACAAATTTTATAGATAATCTAATTCATAAAATGGAGCAAATAGAAAAAGACGAAGACGGGTATGTTTTAAAAGTATATCGCGATACATGTAGTATATATAATTGAAAAAGTTCAACGAATTTTCACCTTTTTCAGTTTAGGTCTCTCAGAGCCACAACCCTATAAAGCGCAGTTAGATATAATAAAAACCTTAATATCTGAAAGCAATGAAGGACCACACGAAGAAAAAGTAGTACAAAAATTGGGGAACAGTGTTACAGCTTTGTATTCTGTACCTACAGCAATATTTTGTTTCTTAAGGGCACAGAAACCAATTACTGGCATAGAAACAGAGAATCCTCTTAGAAGAGCAGTTCAATATGCTGTAAATATAACGCTTCTCTAATTTTTACAGATCGAATAAATATCGATGAAAGAATGAAATAGAATGAAAATTGATATTTAAATATCGTTTTCTTTTTTCCAGATTAGTTTAGGCGGTGATACCGACACTATCGGTAGCATGACGGGTGCAATCGCTGGTGCATTTTACGGCGAAAATAATATTAATTCAAATCTCTTACAGCACTGCGAAGCCTCGGACGAATTTAGGACTTTGGCGGATCAGTTATTCGACAAAGTGATGGCGCCATAGATATTTTAATTTTTCGTTAGCTGTAATTCCACGATGAAAGACACGCGAACGAATGTAATAATTGTATTTTTTAACAGAATTTTACGGAAACGCGATTATGGCCGACTTAAACTATCTACAGAAATATATAACGCCCATTTATAATATGAATTTGTACATTTTGTTAAATAAATAATGTTTACGATCTCGATTGCGTTTAATTTATCATAAAATGAAACGAGGAGAGTTTGACGTTTCTATCGGTTGATACCAGTTGATACAGTTCAACATGGCCGCTCGCAAAACACACTTTTTGTCCACAGTCGAAGAAACGCCTACAAATGATTAGTATCGTATCTTGGATAGAAAGAAATTACGATAGAAATTAGTGAAATTTTACCCAGTATCGCATTTAACAATGGCTGGTAGCGAGAAAGTTTTGGAAGGATTTATCTGTCCAATATGCATGACAGAGTTTAAAGCTCCTAACCAGCTAACCAAGCATTTCGAGGATTGTCATAACGATGATCCAGAGATCTTGAAATCACTCAAAGGTGAGAACTGTGCTTTTAATAATTAACACGGAGATTTATCGAATTTATGAAACGGAAATATCGAAAATAAATCTTCGCTAATTCGATCAACGAAGTAGTTTAAGCTGTCCTACTTTCAGATCTTTTTGGAAAAGCTAAAAAGAAGATCCTGAAACAAGACGAAGTACCAGAAACGTTCTCGGGCCCCGTAACGAAAAATAGGCAACGTTACCCAGAACTTAATTGGGGACCTCAAGAAATAGGTAAGATTCATTGACAAATTTCATAATTCAAGCTAACGGTTAAAAAACATTTCAGGTGCAACAAAATCGTATACAGCTTACTTTAAAGAAATAAGGAATGCAAGACTGGAACGATATTCTTTAGAAACTAATAAACTTCTGATAAGATTAGATAAATTATTAAACAATTTACCAACTGATCCTGTCGATAGGAAAGGTGAGATCGATTTAATTAAGAAAGATTGTTTACTCCTTCTTTATAAATAATAATCTAACATTTCTATTTTTGTGGATATAGCACATGAACGGACTATTGTACCATGGATAGATGAAAAAGATGTAAAATTATGTCCTACTTGCGCCAAGAGCTTTCATGTTGCAAGAAGGAAACACCACTGTAGGCTTTGCGGAGCCGTTATGTGTCACAATTGTACAGTATTTCTATCTTTGCAAGATGCGCGTAAGTGATTCTGAAATTATTAAAATTAAGGCTTGTACTCGTGGTATTATGTAAAACACCGAATTTGAAATATTTAAAGGTACTAACGTAGCTTGATTTGTAGGGAAAATGACGAGTCCTGTATCTGTGCAAGATGATTCCGCGGTATCCCCTACTTCCGAACGACGAATTTCAGAGCGCATAGTACGCGCAGGTATTGGTCTTACAAAATTAGCCAGATCACCGTCTAGCGGTAGTTTAAACAGCGTCTTATCATTGGTTAACGACTCGGCAGCTGGCGAACAACATTTCAGAATCTGTATGCACTGTGCGAGTTTGCTTGACGCAAGAGAAAAACAAAAAGCAAAACATTTCGATAAGCCGATCGTATGCCAGTTCTATGAGAAGATGAAAGCATACATGAACGAAGCTTCGCAACACGTGCAAATGTATAATAAAATGTGGGAATCTTTAAGGTACGTCTAGAGTATTATTCGAAATAGACTCATTTGTTACAGAGAAATTTATTTTTCAGCGAAGGGGAGTCTGTATACAATTTAGAAGATGCCCAGACCTTGAGAGTTAAGATCGCAAAGTTGGGCGAGAATATAGATTTAATTAGCAAAAGAATTTCCGTACTGGGAACGAGATGCGTAGAAAATCCTCCGCAAGAACGAGAGCTTCAGTTGCATCAGATGGTTAGAGCGTCAGCTATGATATTTCTGAAAGAAGAATTGTTGAGCGTGCAAGCTTTGCCTACGGCGGAGAAGTACGCAGAGTTGCAAAGGGAACGTCAGAGACGATTAGATGCTAGAATTGCATACGAAAGACAACTAGAGGAAGAGCAAAGAGAGAAGTCGAAAGAACAACGTAGGAGAGAGACCTGGAATACCGAGGGTCGACCTTCTGTAAAAGAAAATCAGGTAATATTTATATTAGTTGAGATATCGTTGTTTTAACATTGATAATTTGATAATATTGTTTCTGCAGCCGGTAGTAGTGTTGAACCAATCGCAAGGCTGGGGTCCTTCGAATGTTGCTCCTAAAATGCCTCCTTCAATGGACCCTATAATCGAACAAATGAGCAATCTTCGAGCTTATATTAAACAAGCTAGAGATGATTGCAGATACGATGAAGTTGTCACTCTAGAGAGCAATCTTAGAGAACTTCAAAGCCTCTACTTTACCATGAATCAAAGTAACAATAGCGATGGATAGACGTACGGTACACATGCATTTCTTTGCACTGTATTATACTTCTTATCGAATTTAATAAGACTTATAAATCCTATTAAATTGGAAGTTTCGCGTATCGCTACATCCAATTTACGTATTATTGCACGATGCGATACATGTTTCAAGGGTTCCTTTGCATCGATCGATTTAATTGTATCGCATCACCGAGATGCTTCGCGAAACAGGTTTACTATTGTATATAAATGACGCTAAAGAAAGTATATCATTTTTAATAATAAAGTTTATATTAGGTATACAGATATCAAGATATATTAAAAAATAAATTCTTACGATACTCATTTATATACAGTATACTTATTTATAAAAACCGTTATTAACTGCTAGTTTAGTTTCATCGATATGATGAAACGATTATCGGTAATATAATTTTTCTTAAATTTTAAGGAAGTTTGTAAAATCTACAAATAACAATTGTACAACACAATCTGCATTTCTTTTTACGAGGTTATCAATTTAAGCCGAAGCTTGTAACTGGTTTCAACAAATATTTTATTTGTTGTATTTCAACACCATAATCGGTAATTCTTGTGAACGCAATGCATATTGTGTAATGTTTTCATCGTCTTTCGGAGCAGCTGTATTATCCGTATCGCTCGCAGAATTCACGCGAAGTTCGTGAATACATTGCGGTAATTCAGCAGAAGTCATTTCATTCTGATTGATACTTAGATTAGACAGATTCGACGAATCGCTGCTAGAATTAATATTCGAACTGCTACTGGATGCGTAAGTGTTATTGTTCAAAAAAGTTGGAAGCTCGTCTGATAACACTTCCCGGCACGATGTCGTTTGCTCCACACTTTGTCCAAATTTATTTACAAATACAGGTAACTCGCAAGACGACATCTCTTGTTTCTCATATTCCTGTAAGTAATTGTTACTCGTACGCGGCGTAGGTATAGAAAGATTGTCATGCCTTCTACCTTCCTCGATATTATGTTCGCTACTGAACTTCATCAAGTCGGACACCTCTACATTCGTCGATGCTTTTATGGGTTTTAGTTGAATATCTGTATTCACAATGTTTTCCAAATATTTCGCGTTATGTTCTTCCTTTATGGAAATCAGTTTCGTCGACTGCATATTTCTTTCCAAAATACTATTCTGTGATTCGTTATCCATAGCCTTGTTATCGTTAACCTCCGAAGGTAATCCAAATATTAAAGACTCATTAAAATTAGTCTCTTGTTTGTCCTTCTCTTCTAATAATTTTCTTATAACTTCATCTGAAATATCTATGGGGGCTGCAGGTCCATATTCCGGTCGTTTCGGAAGTTCTTCCTTTAATACATTTCCTGCCAAGTAATCAGCTGCTCGAAATAATTCTGCTTTCACTAAAAGATCCAACAAAGTACGTAACGTCGGTCTGTTTCTTCCCATCGTTCCCCATTCGTCCAAAAATATTTCAGCTGCGCTCCTCTTTTGTTGTTGCGCAGCTTGCTCGATTGCGCTATTATATAAAAATTGATTAATTATTCTTCTTAAATTTATTTATCTTCTAATGTACAAGTTTGGTATCGCAGTACCTGAAATGTTGAGCATTAAATTTGGGAACATCAGATGCTTCTCGATCTGGCACGATCGCCATTAATCTTTTCCATGAATCCGATAGACTTAATATTTGTACGAGTATATACAATTCTGCAGGCCTTAATTTTCTCAATTCTGTGTCGAAACAATATCTGTTTGTTGACATCGTGCTATTCATTGTCATCCATTTTCTTAAATCTTTCATCAGCGCCATTAGCTGTCGGTGGCAAATTGTTCAAGTTCGTAGCGAAATCATAGCTGACATCCTATTTTTACCATCGAAAGGTAAAATGAAAAACATAAAATACAATACCCAAATGTTTTATTTCATTTACATAGATTGTAAAAAGTTTATATAAAAATTACATTAAAAGTCATGTTTTTGCAAGACAAATACACACTGAGTTTAAGCATAGAAAATATGACAAAAACTGCAGTACACAGAAAATATCACAGGCTTGACAAAATAAAATTCGGTACAGCATTCTGAAATCAAATACTTGATGATTCGAATACTCGTTAATTTATTCGCTAATAACTAAAACAGTTTGAACAAACCAATTCTCACAGTCTGTCCGATACATCTTTAGCATTTTCTTTGCTATTAGCGATTCGAGATCCAAACTGAAAAGCTCTTTTAGGAAAATTAGCTGTATTTCGAAAACCAAGTTTATACGCCAGTAGGCGTAATAATAATTTATCTCCTAAACCGGATGGCATTTTGTCTGTTGGGTAGCACCTGAAAATAATTCGATAACGCTGATCCTTCGATAACAACTTGATTTCTTTTTAATAGTACTCAATTTACCTTTCCCATGGTTTTAATTTCTGGACGTATCGTACTATTTTTTCATCTAAATATGGCAATCTCGATTGTTTCCCGTGATCGGACACGATACGATCGTCACGACCTAAATTTCTTTCGGAAATTCTAGCTAATTCGATACTTAATTCTTGCGTTAAAGCGCTCCAACCCTTGTGTTTTAATATCGTTCTGTGTCTCATGTATCCACCAAATAATTCGTCTGCACCCATGCCTAACAGAAGTACTCTGCACGGTGATTCGTAAACGTTATTGCTCTTGCAAAGTGTGCCTTTTGCACGGCTTGCAAACCACACAGCGCAACCTAAGCTTTCGTCTAGTATCGTACAAAGTGGATATAATAAATTGCAAATTCGCGCGGAACGATATTTCTGCAGTTCCGTCTGAGAGACGTTCACCTGAAATAATAATATATTACTCAAAAATATATTCGAACAATTAAAAAAGTACTTGTCTTAAGTGCTTCGTTCTTTATAAAAACACTGGTATCGTACTTCAACGAAATTCCATTTCCTTTTTGGGCAAATGTTTAAAAGTTCTTCGAACGTTTGTTTTCCAGTTTTACGGTCAGGTACATCGTATTGAACCTGTGTACATTGTCTTTCATTGTCGGTATTGTATTTCTTCGATGTATTAACCGATTTTTCGAACGCAACATTGATCAAGTCGATGTACTCGTTTTGCGGTATATATTTATCGGCAATTAACGCTAAAATGGCGGAATCCAAACCTCCAGAAAATAATACGCCTATTTTTGCATGAGTGCACGTAACATTCTTGCCATTTAAAAATAATTTTATACAATTTTTACAATATCTCGGCTGTTTCTTCACTCTGACTTCCACTGCTTTGCAGAGAAGTTGTGACAAGTGATCTACCCTTTCATGTATATCTCTATTTTGTAAAAAGTATTCCAATGTCTTGCACGAATTTTCAAAGTAAGGATTATTCTCGAAGGATTCTAAATCTTTAATGTTAGGATGTAGATGTAGACTCGTCAATGTATCTGTCTCCAATATAGTTTCTTTGATATCGATATCCACGCCTAAACGCGTTTCTAATGCTTCTATGACATCCGTGAATCTTAAGTCCGGTTCTTTCCATGGATAGCACGCAAGATTTACCCTCGAATTAGCTAAATTCATCACGAAAATTCCAATTGCAGGAACTTCTACTATTCCATCTATCTGTTTAGTTGCAACCGATGTTAAAGTTACACTATTCTCATCTGTGTTGGATTTCAAGAGCAAACTATGCCTTCCTATAACATCTCTGCCAAAATATAGAAGATTGCTGGATTTTTGGAAGTACACAAAGCTGTACGGCCCTTGTAATTCTTTAAACACAGTAAAAATAGTTAGAGACGATTGAATCGCATTTAGTACCACATCTGTATCGCATGTATTATCTTGAGCCTAGGAACAGGATAGTACGTTATTCCATAATTCATGAGAACTATGGTACAGATGAATGCACCTGTAATATTTACCAAATTTCCAGAGAATATATCTCCGTTCCAAAGAAGGATATTACCCGTAGAATCTATAGCAGGTTGTACAGTTAAATTAGCACCCTGCATCCATAATACGGAGACAGCAAAATGCCCAAACCAATTTTCATTTAAACGTTCGAACCTCTCTGTCGCTTTATCAGGACCACGAGCAACTATTAAGTCCTTGCAAATGTTCCACTGACAAATAAATAAATAAAAGGATATTATCGATACTCATACATGTAAATAATAATATTTTTAACGTAAATACTACCTCAGTTGAAACTTTTTCATTGTTCTCGTGGCTTTGCGAAATGTGACAAAATATCCCACACATTGTTACACCGGTATATCATAAATATAACCTAAAAATATAAAGATTCATAAATAAAACATCTAAATAAATAAAAGATATTTTATTGTAAATTACAATATTCAAATGAAAATACAAAACGTTGTTCGAAATTTTTGTTGCAATTATCGATTATGGTTGTGACAGATAACGAAGTTACGAAATAAAAATACTTGAAACGAGTGAATTTGGAATAAAATGTATATTTCTATTCACAGCAAAATTTAATTACATTCGGAGCTCGTAAAAATAGTTACGCATGTCCTCATAAAAAATAAAATTCGCAAAACTTTCCTATTACTAATCGATTCGAAGCTATATACATATAAATTTTACGAACGTATATTCAATTCGAATTTCTACATTTAAAGCAACCTGTAACTTTTTTTTCTATTTTCTCGAGCAAATTCGAGACTATTTTTAATACTGTATGCGTGGAAAATTAAATCGCAGATGTAAAATTTATTTATCGGACGATATCCGTCAGTGATTCAACTTTTCACATTGTAATTCTCGCCATATTGTTGAGAGACGAGAATTGAATTATTTAGTGATTTAAAAATTGGAATCTGAACATTGAACCGACCGGGACATTAATTCATTTGGAGCATATCTCTTGCCTTTCATTTCATTACGTATTTTCCAGTTGAGAGTGGTCGTTATTCATCAATCGGTAGAATTTTTTTGGCGTTCCATTGCTTTTGACAGTTCGCCGATCTATTTACAATATGATCAATACGGGGTATGTAACATACGTTGTACGAAATATTTCTACATTAATTTGCATAAATTATTCGTTATTGTTACATATGTTAACTACTTTCATTTTCATTTGAAATAAGTATATGGAAAGAGAGCGATAGTATTAAGGAGTTTATATGGTACTAAATAAGGTAGGAAACTAGTGTGTTAAGTGCTAACTAGCTTCAGTCAGCTAGAGTCATACATACTAAGAAGCGAAAAGTGACTGAATGTTATGATACATGCACGATTGAAAGAATCTTTCTAATATTTATATGTTATGTTGCTACAGAAAACTTGCTGGTCGTACAGTTTTTATTACCGGAGCATCTCGAGGCATTGGCAAGAGTATTGCATTAAAAGCTGCTAAAGATGGAGCAAATATTGTTATTGCAGCTAAGACTGCGGAACCGCATCCAAAATTGCCGGGCACGATATATACTGCAGCCACAGAAAGTATTTGTGTCGTTTTATATGTTACAGATGTGTTTATATAAATGTTATTATACTGTTCAAATTAACAAAGAATTTGTTTTTGTGTTTTAGTCGAGCAGGCAGGTGGAAAAGCATTGCCATGCGTTGTAGATGTAAGGGATGAAGCACAAGTAGTTTCCGCAGTAGAGAATGCTGTTAATAAATTCGGTGGTATTGATGTTGTTATTAATAATGCAAGTGCAATTTCTTTAACAGGCACAGCAGCCACAGATATGAAAAGATACGATCTTATGAATACCATTAATACCAGAGGAACATTTCTCGTGTAAGTATAGGAAACTTTATTTTAATTGCGACAAGGGTGTTAACAAGGGGAGCTATGCAATAATATTATGGTGATTGTTTTAAGGTCTAAAGTCTGTTTACCCTATTTAAAGAAAAGTCCAAATCCTCATATAGTAAATTTAAGCCCGCCGTTGAGTATGAAACCGATATGGTTCAAAAATCATGTTGCTTATACCATATCTAAATATGGCATGTCGATGTGTGCTCTTGGTATGGCAGAGGAATTTAAAGACGATGGCATCGCCGTCAACGCTGTTTGGCCAAATACTGGTAGATTAAACTCTGTCAAAAAGTAGACGTGGTTCTATTTATAATATTTCAATTGTACGTTTTATTTTAAGCTATTCATACCGCTGCAATTGAAATGTTGTCTGGCCCATCCTCGAAGGATTATAGTCGTAAACCTGAAATAATGGCAGATGCCGTCTATGCTCTGATCTGTAGAGACAGTAGATCCACCACTGGACAATTTTTTATCGACGAAGAGATATTAAAAACCGAAGGAATTACTGACTTTACCGAATATGCGTGTAATCCAGGTAAATCGGATGTCTATAAATATTTAAAACTATCGTTTTTAATTTCTGTACTAGCCGCAGTTTCATTTTTCCTTAGCAAACAAGGACAATTTGATGCTTGACTTTTTCGTAGAAGATAATTTAGTACACCTCAACTTACAAGATCAATTGCAGAATACACTTATACAAAAAAAGAGCGATAGTACGCAGGATACCAATAAGTCGAATTTACAGATTGAACAAATATTTACCGCCATTGAAGCCAATTTAAACGACGAACTCGTTAATAAAACGGGAGCTATATATCAATTTGTTGTTAATGGTAATAAAATTTCTATAATAATCGGCTATTAATCGGTTCTATTAATGCTGTGTCATTTATTCTTTATTTTCGAAACGTATCGTTCGATATTAATTTTGTAGACGACGAAGTTAGTACATGGTATTTGGATCTTAAAAATGGTAAAGGTTCAACAGGTAAAGGAGAACCAAAACAGCCACCAGATGCTACGTTAACAATGGATTCTAAAAACTTTTATGCGATGTTTTCAGGTAAATCGTGATACTAAAACAAAACATCAACTTTATGTAATATGATAAATTTGTTAAAAAAAAATATAATGTTTTTCACACGTTTCTTAGGAAAACTGAAACCAGCATCAGCATTCTTGATGGGAAAGTTGAGAATCCAAGGTAATCTTCAAAAAGCGATGAAGCTAGAAAAATTGATGCTTAATTTGAAGTCTAAACTGTAAGAATGTTCATATTTTGAAAATGTTTATACAACCATTATAAGTAAACGCGAGACATATTTTTATATATTCTTGTAATATATTTTATAAATATTAAAAAAAATTAACCATTTATTTAAAATTACATTTTTAATTACTATATTTTTATTAATTAATAATTATTATATTTTATTAATTATTATATTAATTATATTTTTTTATACGCTTATACATAATATTAGTACTTGGTATCCTCCTCGTAGAAAGTAAAATAGCTCAGAGAATATTTCGTTAGCAGAGTTTTTACTTTTTCATAAGTTCCAAAGAAAATAAAACCTCCCAAAGTTATCCACGTTACCCTAGGGCCGATACCAGCGAAAAGTCTACAAAATCAACAAAGTAAATACGCGTTATTAATGTAATTTATTATCGACTACTTATCGTAAGTTAAATCGTAAATCGTACCCGCGCAAACCTTTTTCTTTACATACATCTTGAAGTACATACAAAATTTTCAGCTTCGAAGAATGTACGTTTTCATGAGCAAGCATTATTCTCGTTTTAACAACATCTAACGGCGTAGTGACCGCAGCAGAAACACCACCTAACAAATTCCGTATAATCAGGTGTACATCAAGTAAAATACGGTGACGTACAACTAAAGAGCTTCGAACCTGCAATTGCTCCACATGTAGCGCTTTCCATGGGAAGGATATTTCTATCGACATTCGAACTCCAGACTTTCTTTAAATATTCCCATACCGGAAATTGTACTATGCTAAAGGGCATGTCTCTGAAGACAGTACTCCAATATCCACGATACAGTAATCTGACACTTATATTTCTTTTGCGTAATATTAACGCTTGCTTTCTTTGTTTCACGACCTCTATAGGTACTCTTATTAGACACGCCGCCTTTATTCAAAACATATATTACGATTAAATTATATTTTAACAGTTTAAATTTCCTCGTATATAAATGAAATTTACCACTTCTGCTAGCGATGCTGCACCCATATGGAGCAAGGAATGATATTTTTCAGGAACTCTATATTGCGCTACACTTTTAATACCCTCATACGTTACGAAAAATAAGGATGCTGAAATATTGTAAAAGATAGAATTGTATTAATGCATTTTTATATGTATGCAAAACACATGTGCAAAGCTATACCGGTTGGAGCAGAACCGATCAATACAGGGATGATTCCCTTGTAAAGGTTGGAGAATCCTCCAGACTTTATAAATCCTTGTTTAGCTTGCAATCGAGTTTTCAACGTATCCAATGGAAATAATGTTACATCAACGGAAGTACCAGCTAATCCTCCAGCCTATTAAAAAATATAATGTTAAATTAAATAATGAAACATACATTGAAATTTTCTTATTTCCAAAATTAATACTATACTATTTTATATTTAATACTACATTTGAACATTAAGAATCAAAATTTCATTCGAACGAATTTGAATTCCCCGCAAAATTTGCATTCATTCTGCTACAACGCGATCCTAACAAATTTTAATGTTTGACTCACTATTAACGATGTAACGAAAATAGATTTAGAATTCGTTAATTCCAGCTTTTCTGTTCGTGTTGTCATTTGGTATTTGTGTGTTAACAATACTAAATCCTTGACTCAAATACAGGCTCTTTTAACTTTAAGATTATACACGCACGTTCACGAATAGTGTTCTGCTCGAGATCATGTAATCTTGTTTTTGAAGATAAGAAATAAATTATTAGAGAACATAATTATTACCACAGTAATTATGTTCTTAAAATGGCAATAAAGGTAATATAAGATAACCTCCTATTTTACAAGCAATGCCTAAACAAATATTTTGTTTAATAACACACTGTAAATAAAGCAAAGCATTTGTCATGGACTTATGGTGAAGGTTAGGTCGGGTTCCGCCATTTTTCAAACAAAATCGTACGCTTATCTATTTTTTATATAGTTTATGGTGTATTCTAAATTGCTAAATTCAAATTTACATTGGTAATCTCTTATTTGAACGTTGAAATAAACGATGTGATATTAAACGAGGTTATCTTGCAATCCATTGTCATCAACTCCTTCTGAAATCGTGGATTAATATCAACACCAAACTGTCTCACAACGGGGAGTATGTATAACAAACAATCTTTCTATACAAAACTTAACCTGTCGTCTGTTCAAAGACGCAATTTTCTAAATAAACAACTTACAGGTTTGAGCATAAGAAAATATTTTTTAAACATATTTCGATCGTTTGCAGTATAATAAGATAGATTACTTAGTTAATGTACAACTAGTTTTTAAGGAAAATGTTAAAATTTGTAACAAAATGTACAGAAAGAGGAATGTTTTATGGGCATACCTGCCCATGCACTGTTGAGTAAAAAAACAAATAAACACACAACAACAATTTACAGATGTTAATTAATAACTATTCTTTTATAGAAAGGAACGAAATCGGGCCAGCATGCCTGAACCAGTGCACCACCAGATTAACGCTGCTCGAAAAACGTTCCAAACGCTACACCAAATTTCAAAATTGTTAAACACAAATTTGGATTCAACGACATTGAGTATATGCATCAGATTGTGCGAGAATGGAGTGAATCCATACGCGCTGGCGACTGTAGTGAAAGAGTTGCAAAGAGAAGTGAAAGCTATGAATACTCCTACTCAATTAGATTCTCCAAGCAGTAAATCAAGCTTGAATAAATGAATGGGTAAACTTTGTGTTACAATTTATTAAATTAAACATATCTATTAACATGTAATACGTAATATCGTTCTCTCTTGCTTCTATTTTGTAATTAGGTAAAAGTAACGAAATGTTATATTGTTTTTGATAGAAACTAATATTGTTAATTGTTATTCTCATTGCTGCTGCTTTAATAATGTTAATCGCGTCATTAATATTGTACAACGGTTCAAGTGGAATAAAGTAGAATTAATTATTTATATTGCAATTTAGTCGATATTCTTTTTTTATACAAAGTATTAAATGGAATTACAAAAGGTGTATATACAAGTAATTATAAATCTGTTTCTGTAAACCGAAGAAAACACTTATATCAAAAATGGTTCTATACGCGTTTGCTTATAGATTTGCTTATAATTATTTACAATGTATAAAAATATACAAACAATATATTTTGTGTCTTTAAAGAATGTATATTTATAGCAATTTATAACTCTGCTTTTCTCTGTTTCTCGTCCATTGTACTTTGGGTGTTTACAACCTTGTTAAGTTTTGGCATAGTTTTGCCCTGTAACGAACCGTAAATTTAATTACTCGTAATCTCCAGATCGATTTAGAAGAAAATATTTTCGAGACAGCAATGTATTAAATTAAACGTTTACCTGTTTTTGTGGATCTCTGTAATAGGTATGCCCTTCAAGAGTAATATGAGACAATTCTGGCTGTTGCAGCAAATAATTTTTTGCATCTACAGCTTGGGAACCTTCTCGAAATAAGAATACAGATCTTTTTTGATCAATTGGGTATCTGTAAGAATTGCAACAATATGAAAATTAGATTAATACCACTTATAAAAAAAGAGCAGTATACCTTTCGGCAGCAATATGATTATTCTGAAAACTAGTGTGCCAGATTTTCATTATTACTTCAGCTTCTTCTACTGAAATATCCTCTATAGTGTCCACAAACATCATGACACTTTTACCTTTTTTAGTCACTTTGAGTACATTGTCAGGATTTGACATATTAATCTGTATATGTAAATGAAACATGTAAATCTTATTTATGTTATATTATTGTACGAATGAAGTAGCAGATATGGAAGCGTTACCTTTGATATGTCAATTTTTGGACTTGGTCTGAGATGTTCCGGTAGTTCATCCGGTTCCAAAGGTTCGTCGTTTTCCTAAAATAGCAGAATGTATTCTTGTTTATCGTCCCCATCTGTTGCACCTGTCTCCATTCCGATCGTGACATCATACAAGAAATATAAATTAAATATAAATTACAATGTACCTCCCACTGGTCTAGCAAATGCTCTAAATCTGCTTCGGTCATATCTCGTATATCTTTCTCTCGCCATGATTTCTTTTTGCTTGATTTCGCGTCGTTACTTGCCTCGACGTAAAGTAACAAGAATATACTACATACGACGATTCCTTTATTCATATTCAGAGTTGTGAAAACAAAAATATTTCACAAAAAGAAACCAAAGATTTTTTATTTTTCTGGGCAAATATTTACAGTAGAAATCTGTTTTAGAGTGAGGATATCCTTGAAGGAATCGGTATTTAGAACGATATTCAGAACGTATTCGCGACTTTATCCTTATTAAATCTCATTTTCCGAATCGACAAATACTGTTGAATACTGTAGCCATCAGGTGGCAACACGTATGAACTAGGATGACCCCTCCAGAACATCTCGGGATGTGTAACTCAACTTATTCGGCGTAAAAATTCTTTTCATACAAGACATTTGAGATTGCGTTGAGTGAACAAAATATTGTTTATAATAAGAATCGTACAACTACAATGATTGGTAGTGTTTACATTAGAAATTGGCTTAAAATAATAGATGTAATCAGAAATATAGCCGCTCACTAAGCTGCTCAGCGAGCGAGTTTTAGTACCAGTGGTACCATCTCTTGCTGGTAGGTGTCACCGCTGACTAACGCATCTCTGCGCCTACGAGATGGCAACCGAAACGACAAACAGGATAGCATAGGTTGCCGCATAACAGGGGCACCTCTGCGCCTACGAGATGGCAACCGAAACGACAAACCGGCTAGCATAGGTTGCCGCATGAAAAGGGTACCTCTTGGTCTTACGAGATGACAATGAACCAACAAGTAGACTACTATCGGTTGCCGCATACTGGTGGCATCTGTGCATAAAAATAAAAGAAGTGTGTGCAAATACATAGGCATAAGTGAAAAGATGTACAAATAGTTATAAGTAAGAAGTATTGAAATAACTTGTAATTATATGGTTACTTTAATAAACGATCAAACAAACAAACAAACAAACAAACGTGTCAGATTTTATTCGTGCCACCTTCCCGCATATCATGTTTTCCTGATACCAAAATGTAAAACTCTGGTCGAAATTTCGATACGTACCATGTATTTCTAGTGCCACCTCTTCGCATATCATGTGCTCCTGATACCAGGAGTAAAAATCCGACATTTCCCATCACAATTTTGAGAGGAGCGATTTGCAACATTGTTAAAGTTTGGAGAAGAGCGATTTGCAACATTGTTGTTTTTGCAACATTGTTGAAGTTTTGAGATGAGCGATTCGCAACATTGTTGAACTCGCAACATTGTTGAAGTCCGGAGCGGAGAGATTTGCAACATTGTTGACTTTGCCAAAATGTAAAATCGGGCCAGAAATCCGATACGTACCGACAATGTGCCCCTTGAAATAGGCAACCCATACTTACAGATATGTCGGGCCGGTTGCTTGCTTTTAGGCGCAAACGTGCCACCTCTTCGCGTTCTTAAACATTGTTTAATGTTTCGGTATTTTGCACATTTTTCTGGCGCC